TTTGATGCCGAGTAAAAGGTCCATTGTTTATCTGATTAGTAATTTGTAAGAAATCACTTTGGTTTTACTCCCAAGCCGAACACATACAGCGGTTCTACCAATTTGTCAGACACCCAAGGAATTGACTTCCACGCCGAACAGTTACAGAGGTTCTACCAATTTGTCGGACACCCCGGAAATTGGCTTCCACGCCGAACAGTTACAGCGGTTCTACCAATTTGTCAGACACCTCAGGAATTTAATTTCACGCCGAACAGTTACTGCGGTTCTACCAATTTGTCAGACACCCCGGGAAATTACTTCCACGCTGAACAGTTACAGTGGTTCAACCCATTTGTCAGACATCCTAGGAATTTACTTCCACGCCGAACAGTTACAACGGTTCTACCACTTTGTCAGACACCCCAGGAATTTACTTCCACGCCGAACAGTTACAGCGGTTCTACCAATTTGTCAGACACCCCGGGAATTTACTTCCACGCCGAACAGTTACAGCGGTTCTACCAATTTGTCGGACACCCCGGGAATTTACTTCCACGCTAAACTGTTACAGCGGTTCTACCCATATGCCAGACACCCAAGGACTTAACTTCCACGCCGAACAGTTACGGCGGTTCTACCAATTTGTCAGACACCTCAGGAATTTACTTCCACGCTGAACAGTTACAGTGGTTCAACCCATTTGTCAGACATCCTAGGAATTTACTTCTACGCCGAACAGTTACAACGATTCTACCACTTTGTCAGACACCCCAGGAATTTACTTCCACGCCGAACAGTTACAGCGGTTCTACCAATTCGTCAGACACCCCGGGAATTTACTTCCACGCTAAACTGTTACAGCAGTTCTACCCATATGCTAGACACCCCTGGACTTAACTTCCACGGCGAATAGTTACTGCGGTTCTACCAATTTGTCAGACACCCCGGGAAATTACTTCTACGCTAAACTGTTACAGCAGTTCTACCCATATGCTAGACACCCCTGGACTTAACTTCCACGCCGAATAGTTACTGCGGTTCTACCAATTTGTCAGACATCCTAGGAATTTACTTCCACGCCGAACAGTTACAGCGGTTCTACCCATTTGTCAGACACCCCAGTTGTCAGACAGGTCAGCTAGGAATGCATTTGATGAGAAACTTTGTAACTATTTCTATTGGGGTTTTTTCGATGTCATAACCCTTAATGCAAACACTGTCGTTCTCCAAAGACGTATCAATTTTCTCGCTGATCAGTTGTTATTTATTAACTGTTAACCTTGATAACAATTAACTTGCCGTGTTACAAAATGATTGAATTTTAAACATGTATCAACAAATTATTTCATCTTTAAATGCTGAAATGTTTTGCATTTTGTTTAAAAACCCTGAATCTGTCCATTAATATGAATAGTCAGTTTACAAGCACTGTGTTTCATATTGTTGGAAGATTTTAAACATGTCTGACTGTCGTTAAACTTAAAAGTGTTATTAGGTATCTTGAAGCTGCTAATTGTAAATGAAATCAGGCCTCGAAAACTACGTTGGTTCTGTACGAGCGTGTGAACTCGCCAAATTTGTAAAACGTTTAAAATCGGCTTTTTAAACAGGACTTCATTTAGCAGTTGTTCATAGCCTCAAGATTAATCACTTTTCTGTTTTAAAATCTATATTTGTATTGAATATCATATATCAGCTCTTAACCATCGATACATTTAGATCTGCGAGTATAGCAACTGCAGCACTTCCTATTGAAACAGGAAGATATAACACTTCTCCAAGAGATCTAAGGTTTTGTAAGATATTTTACATTCGACGTCGCAGAATGAAATAGTCATATCTGACACTTAAACTCAAAAACTTTTTTTATTATTTGTATTTGTAAAAAAAAAATATCGGCTTATTTATCAACTAGTTTCAAATATATTGAATTAATAAACGTCGTATGTAATACACTGTTGAACTTAGTATCAAAAGGCGTAAGTGACACCCAGAACTCCTTATGGTGTCAGTTTTATGCTTTAGTGGAAGAATGAAGAGGTGTACAAGGAACATCTGACACGATAGATGTATATCCTACTCGTACACGGTGAAATAATGTCTAATTTCTCTGGGAGGACAGTATGAATATTATTGATCTAACATTTCAGAGACCAAGGTATTCATTCAGTGTTTGATGAATGATTTACAAGATCATACCACTGAAACTACATAACGTGACCACCGAACCCAGAAAACAATCATTGTGTGAATTGTGACAGAAACTCGATACGTACACAATCTATTATATAGTAGGACATAAATAACTGAAATGTAAAGCAAAAAGTATGGTTGTTACAAGCATACATCATACATACAAGATATATGTCATGTGACATGTTTTGAAATTTTTGTGCATTTTGTCAGGAAAGTTTGAAAGTTTGTGGAGCAAAGAATATTCTTACCTGTGATGAGCAACAGATGTATGATTTTGGAACAGAGAATATTTTTACCTGTAAGAAGGTGCAGATGGATGATTGTGGAACAGAGAATATTCTTACCTGTGATGAGCAACAGATGTATGACTGTGGAGCAGAGAATATTCTTACCTGTAAGGGACGCGACGTTAAACCCAATTTCACCTCACCTCACTTACCTGTAAGGAGAAGCAGATGTATGATATTGGAGCAGTGAGAAGACTTACCTGTGATGAGCAGCAGATGGATGATAGTTGAGCAGAGAATTTTAGATATCTAACGATACGATATCTAGTAGATATTTAATCAAGGCTTCTACATATAAGCATGAAGTGTGTTCTGATCTAAGTCAAATTTCAGTGCTTATGAATGATGTTGCTAACATACCATGTTGTATGGAGCAGATCAGAGAAGTGGATAATGATTCTCTGCAATTGGAGAATCTACCAATTCCCAATTACTCTTTCACAAGCAATGGTCAGACATCTACCTCAAAGTGACCTCATGAAAAACAATGCTTGTACAGTTGATATCAATCAGATTCCGGTTTCACATATAATAGAAATTTCTTCAAATGATGTCAAGCTTCGGCCTTCTGATGACAGAGATAGCACTTCTGTCAGTGATTGTGCACGGATGAACGAAAGCTTAAATAAAAGAAATGTTGCCATCCAATTTTACTCAGATGATAACATACCCTTGAGCCATCTGTTGAACAATGCTTTATTTACATCCAACAACGATGGCTAACCTGGAACTTCCATGGAGTTATGTGGCGGAAGACATTCCCTGAAGACATTAGTTTCAACTCGGATCTCCTTGAATCTGGTGCATGTGAACAGTCAACTCTATCAGGCAAACCTTATTGGCTGTCATCTTTTGATAACACAACGGAAGGGGACACAACCCGTATTTCTAAAATGGAAGCCCTCCGGAAAATCAGAGACTCGTTTTCACAGGACGAGTATGACTCATCTGGTGACGAGTACAGACTACTAGAACATTCAGCTTACCTGGACGAGTCATCTTGAACTGATTCTTCAGATGACAGTAGCATAACTCTGACACAATTGCACAAGCGTAAACGCCAAAGTACGCCCCAAAAGATGACACAGTTCAAATCTTTCCACAAGTAGAATTGTGTAGATGATGAAGGACCACAAATAGCCGATGTGTATGCCGATAACGATAAGCAACAGCTGCGGATATCAAGAAGTAGTACAAGCAGCCCTGAAAAAAGTCAAATGAACAGAAAACATAAATACATAAGGAAAAATAGTCCCTGTGGGAGAATCCAAATAATGTCTGCAGGACATTCAAAGATGATGACAGACTTCATGTTTTCTCATCCTATTGTTTATTTGTTTATTGTTTAACACTCAGCATTTTTGCAACTATATGACGGCGGTCTGTGAATAATCGAGTCGGGATCAGACAATCCAGTGATTGACAACCAAGTCGGCGAGCCTGACCACCCGATCCCGTTAGTCGCCTCTTATCTTATGAAAGAAAACATGATTTTTTCTAAACGTCAAGTCAAGGCAACCAGATTTACGAAGAGTCAGCGTCAATACGTAGCAAGACGTATGAGTAGTTTCTCCGATCTGAAGCAAATATGCTACAAGTGTGCAAAGCGTTTTTTTCCTATCCACATTACGCATAGGTGAAAAGACCGTGTATTACATGATTCGAAAAGGAACGACATACATTCTAGTGACCAAAGAGGGAAAATGAATCCAAAGACCAAAATTGCAAGGGGAGAATGCAATCGAGTTCGGTATTACATAATGTCTTTTCCGAAGTAGACTCCCACGATTGCAGAATTATCGGCAAAGGCAATATCTTAATTCGGATCTCTCAATTTATAAAATGTATGGACTCTTCAAAGTCCAAAAATGCAAAGGAAACAACCACCTTCCCATAAAGCAATACAAAAACAGCTCAATATTCAGAACTGAGTTTAACTTAGGTTTCCATGTGGCAAATAAAGAGTATTGTACATTTTGTTTTTCATGCCAAAACATGTCCCAAGAAGACAAATTGATCAACAAAACCAAAATGGAGGATCACACAAATAATAACCTTGAATTTGTTACTCATCTTAAGTTGGCAAGAGATGTAATTCCAATTACATCAATTAAAATAATGTACACAGAGCATGTATGTCACTTTGTCATTATGCATATAATTGGGACAATGTAAATTTATTCTTTTACTGTGGCAATATGAAACTGGAAGTTTACAGAGCGTTAATATAAAAGTATAATGTATGTCATTATGTACAGAGAACTCAACCGACATGCTACTATTGTGTCGAAATAAAAATCGACCGCCTCAGTGGTCTGGTGGTAGAGAGTCCAACAAGGACTGTCGGACTCAGTATCCTGTGTCTGAGTGGGGTATTCATGTTAAACTGCGGCCACACACTGGTGCATGCACGTCGCTACATAAGTGAAATAATCCTAAAGGCGACAATCCATTTCACTTCATCAAATGAAAATCCTTGACACAAGTCATGTTTATGTTTATGCGAATAACATGAAAACTGCGCTTTTCTTCCAGTTAAATTCCATACAAGTGTATTACGATGGCCGTACAGCAACGCTGGAAGATACTACAGACAGCGTGGTTATTCTGGTCTCTGGTCATGGTGGTGAGTTGTCGTATTAACAAGTCCTCTCTTTACAAATGAACATTCACCATAGGTCTTGTTGTTGAGTATTAACGATGAAGTTTTTCAGCGAAACTGAGACTTCCTCAAAGTTCCCTAACAATGTTGCTTCGTTTAAGGATCAGCCGGCTATATAATTCGAAAATTCAGAAGAAGAAGAAAAGGTGTCTTAATACCGCCAACGTTGAAGGTACCTTTGACAATGAAAATACAATGTTTATTTGTTTCTTGTTTCACGCAGCACGGCGGTCTGTAAATAATGAGTGTAGTGATTGATATCATGAGCATCGATCCACGCAATTGTGATACAATGACATGCATCAACCAAGTCAGCGAGCCTGACCACCCGATCCCGTTAGTCGTCTGTTACAGCAAGCATGGGAGGCTGAAGACCTATTCTAATCCGAACAACAGACCACCGTCATGTAGCTGGAATATTGTTAATTTATCAAAATATGAAAAATGGTACTATAAAGGTAACCAATTGGAGATAACAAGTTTTTATAAATATTTAGGAGTGTATTTACTAACCGTCTTTCATGGACATATCATGTAAGCCAAGCATCCTTACAAGCTCAAAGGGTATTCATTGGTAGAACAAGGAAATGCATGTGGTCTAAACTTTGATTATAATACACTTTTCAAAAATTTTGATGTAAAAATAAGTCCAATTTTATTGTATGGTGCAGAGATTTGGGGACTCTCAAAAGGAGATGCTATAGAAAAGATTCACTTGTATGCATGTAAGAAATATTTAGGTGTAAAAGTTAATACACCCGGGGTTATGGTTTATGGTGATTGTGGTCGCTATCCACTGTATATTTTTGCATATATTAAAGTAATCAAATATTGGGTAAGAATTTTAAAAATGCCTTTGTATAGATTTCCCAAAAAGTATTATAATATGTTATTGTTGTTTGATTCAAATGGTAAAAGAAACTGGGCAACTGGTGTTAGAGAACTCTTATTTGAATCTGGTTTTGGTAATGTTTGGTATGATCAACGGGTCAATAATACTGCTGAGTTTATCCCGTCACTGAAACAAAGACTAAAAGTTATTTATTTACAATCATGGAATGTTTCATCAGCATTATCAAATAAACACTTTTATTAAAAACTTTTTAAATCTTACATTTATAGAGAATGCTATCTCGTTGATATTACCATACCAAAATATAGAAAAGCATTGGCACGGTTTCGTTGCGTGTCGCATGATCTACATATTGAAACAGGCAGATATATAAATACCCCACGAGAACAAAGAAAATGTAACATGTGTAACTTAAATGATATAGAAGACGAGTATCACTTCCTTATCAGATGTCCATTACATTTAGAACTAAGAATAAAATACTTACCAAAATACTATTACAGTGAACCAAACATATGTAAATTTATAAGTTTATTAAAATGTGAGAGAACAGAGGTTGTAAAGAATTTATCGATGTTTATTTACCATGATTTTGCCCATAGAAATGAAATTGTTAACTGTTAACTAAATACTATCTATGCCAGCATAAAATGAGCATATTTTTGGTTGTCATGATGTATATATGTGGGAGATAATTTATTTCAATTTGATGTTCTATTGTAATGATTAATTATGTTGAACTGTATTATGTATTAAAGGCCTGTGGCCTCTTGAGTACGAAATAAAGATTGATTGATATGAAACTAGGTACAAATGTCTTATACCCGATACTCTGCTACCATGTTCCATTGTTTGCAAATACGGATGTACCCGATAGCGCAACTATTTGAACAATAGTTGGGTAAAGCGGCCAACCATTCTATATTTTGTGTGTCTCAAACAAACGTCCCGGCACTACCTTCTGACAATCTGGGTAAGACAGAAGGATGCAGTGCTTCACATTCTCCGAAAGGTCTTTGATGGGTTCAACTAGTCTGCGCTTCCTGTGAGAAATCCCATTCTCTGAATGCATTATTTTAAATCTGTAAATAATGATAAGAAGAAATAAGACACGGAAATAGAAGCTCTGCACAAGCGTACAACCTCATAACTCTCGTCGCAGAAATAAATTAACTGACATGTAGTACCATTTGATATTCTGGGACAATGTTATATTTTCGTTAAACTCCCCAATGTCAGTTTTCGCGAGGCAGATGCAAATAACGTAGAAACAGGTCAGAGGTCGTTGCAAAGGAAAGATGGTCGTCCGCAATTATTTACCAAAAAATCAGGTAAAAGGGATTATAGTCTGAAACAATGTTGTAGAAAAATAAACCTCACGTCCTCCTTCCAGGGTGTCAGTGACTCTCTCATTGGTCCGAGTCTTCTAGAGCTCCAGTCTCTACTGCAGGTGGATCTGCGACAACTCAACTACATCGTGTTAGCCACCGGACTCGGGGACTTCGTCGGCGCCATTCTAGCTGGCCTTCTCACCAACACGTGTGCCTGTGACTTGAGACTGGCAGTCTCTGTGTTGCTGGGAACTCTCAGTGTTGCTCTGTCTGCCGTAGTGGCCAACTACTACTATGTGTTGACATTATTCACATTACAAGGTTTTCTCAGAGGATTTGTGTACTGTTGTAAGTATATACTAATTTCACCTCATATTTTGTTTATTGAAAATGGGTTTATCCATTGTGTTTGAGAAGGCTTATTCATAGTTGTTTTGAAGACACGGATGGCCAAATCGTCTAAGGCTAAGGCGCGCCACTTCGCCAACAGAAGGCTGTGCTGGTGGTTTTAAAACAAAGATTTCACCTTCATTATATTTTTTTAACTATACCCATGATTGTGGGTTTCACAAAAGAGGAAAACATCTGCATCACTTAGTACTGTCCCCCCTCTTCAAACTGACACCAAAGTAAAACCGTAAAACTGTTAAAAGCAGCGTAAAACCAAAACTCACTCAAACCTACAGCTTGCATTAGCGTTTTTGGCCTACTTTGATCTTTGGCCTACTGTTACTATGATGGTGACCCATATTTAACGCAAACGCAATTTAATCACAGGCCGAACATAGTGAACACCCAATCCTTATTAAGCATTGGCTTCGACATTCCTTGGGTTCCTTGGGTTGTGTATGTATATAGCTTGTAAAGCACGTCGTTGGCTCGGGGCTTATATTAATTTCAAACATGCCAATACACCTGTCATGTTCGAACTAATTCTGTAACATATGGGGGACCGAATCATAATATATATATATATATATATATATATATATATATATATATATATATATGCGTTAATAATGAATCATGGAAAGAGTATAAATATTATCCACAGCTGTCTTCTGTAATTTCATTGTGGTCACACTAGTCAGAGCCTCATTCGAATATCAGTATCAATTCATAATTAACAAAATTTGAATATATATGCAGTGAGAAACGTCATTACCATGTAATTCATTTCTATGCTTCGTTTCAGATGCAATTGAAAAATGCAACGCCCTATGGACACAAAATAAAGGTGTTCCTTTTCAATGTATATTGCTGGGAACAACCGCTGGAGGAATTATCTCCCCGTTGTTCATTAAACTATTTCTTTGTCCACCATACGACCCCGAGACGGCAAACTTCACCACGTCTAACGTCAGTTACGAAAACGTGAACATCACTGATCTGGGCCACGCAGTACCCTACAGTCCGCATACACATAGCACAGAGTGGTCAACCTGGTCTGACAACGCCACATCCTTATCAACGTCTTCAAGATGTTTACCCCAAGACGTGAATCTCACGTACGCGTACTTCATATTAGCGGTATTGGTGCTGCCACCTGCAGTGGCATTTTTCATCTACTGGAGCCAATCCAAGGGAGAATCCACTGACGAAGCTGCCAGGGTTACACGGGAACAAGTCGCCAATGAAGAAAACACGCAAACCCTTGTTGTATTGTTTTCAGTATTGTTTGTGATTTTATATTTTCCCCTACTTGGCAGTAGCGTCATGTACTCCACATATCTAACAGAGTTTGGTGTTAAAGGACCTCTTCATCTACAAAAGCCTAAAATGGTCCTCATGACGTCATTGTACTGGGGCTCGTCGCTTCTTGGAAGAATCATCAGTATATTTTTGACACCGTTTATTGGCGTAGAGAAACTCATATATTGCTGCATGATCCCATTGCTTATCAGTGAAACAGTTATGGTTTTCACAGTACAGTATTCTGAAATTATTTTGTGGATTTGCACATGCACAATCGGACTCTTCATATCGCCATATGTTGGGGCCGGATATGCGTGGTGCGCGAAGCATGTGAAGTTTGGTCCTCGTTTAATTTCCGCTTCCGGTGCTTCACTGGGTCTCGGTGCAATGGCTCTGCCATTTGTTGGTGGAGTTATGTTTGATATCTTAGGGCCTATGTCCTATTTATACTTGTATTATTCATTGTACATTTTTGTGGCTCTTTTGTTCTTCATAATGGTTATATTGACTAAACGAATGCAATCTCCCTCAGTTATAATCGTGAATGTGGACATGTGTCAAGAACGTCTTAGCCCCGAAAGCTAACGTTTTCGTTTGTGAAACTTCTGAACTAGCTATTCGCTGTTTTCCTTTTCCCTGTCACAATTCTGAACCCTTCTCATTTGACACGGTTACTTGTTTAGTTGGTTGTTGGTTGTTGTTTAACGCCGCAATCAGCAATATTCCAGCAATATGACAGCGGTCTGTAAATTATCGTGTCTGGACTGACAATCCAGTGATTGACATAATGAGCATCGATCTACGCAATTGGGATCCATGACATGCATCAACCAAGTCAGCGAGTCTGATCACCCGATCCCGTTAGTCGCCTTTTACAGGCATAGTCATAGGCAAGCATTGGTTGCAGAAGACCTATTCTAACCCGGATCTTCACTTGTTAAGTAAAACAAATTGTATCGACATATCACTTTACAAAGCACATGAGTTATTAAAGTTGTTGACGTAATTATGTTGAATATTTTATTTTCATACAATTGTGTTTCAGTGATGGCGATGTTACATGTGTGTTTTTCCTGTTAGTTTTTTATGCAATCTGTGTTGATAAATAAAAGCTACAAAACCCTTTCCATATTTCAAAATATTTAGATTTAGAAATCTCTGCTAAAAGCAGAATCGATTGTACGATTCCGACTTTATCATGAGCATGTGTTTATGAATCACTATCAAATAGTGATGATACAAGGTATATGCGAAAAGGTGAGCGTATCCTGCCCCACCGTTGGCACCCATCACAAACACATACAAAAGCAAGTCAATTGTTCACCTGAAAAAACAAACATTTGGTACTAGTCAAACTAGGGAATTTCATCGGACATATTTTTTGTCACTGATACGTCATATTTGGAAATGTCCTCCACATGTCAAGTGACGTGTATACAAATATATGGCAAGAAATGAATTACATATGCAGTCAAGTTTACTATCTGATCTGCATCTGAATATACTGTAAATGACAAAAGACGACATCTGGTATGTGAAATGTACTATGAAACTGTGTAGTTGCATGTCTTTTGTAGTCGTTATACTGTGCCAGATGATGATTGTTGGAGCATGATTGCATGACTTATGATAATATTATTCTCTGAACTGAGCTACACGCTAGCATCTAGGTCGAGTTTGGCATCGCATTGGTCTACTCAGACAATGTGAAGCAAATTTGTTCTCGAGCCTATTTGTTAAAAGAGTTCATACCTAGCTTAGGTCTAGAGCAGTGTTATCTGCAATTCCATTCCTCTGGCCGTCCACGTTCTGTCGGCAGTGGCCCAGCTATGATTCAACTGAGATCATTTTTCGTCCGTAAACACTATGTCCGTGGGCGTGTTTTTTCACCAAATGGAAAATGTCTACGCCGAGGCTCGTTGGGCATTGTTGCGTCCCTTTAAATAGCGTGCCATAATCCGATGATCAGTACACATGTTAGACAATGTTTAATAATAATAATACTCCAACAAGTATATACAAATTGACAACACGCCCATGTCCCGTCAGTTCGAACCATACTTAAGCAGGGGGAAACTATATGGTTCGGGTGGTCAGACTCGACTATTACGTCACCACACCTCGACAAGATCGGCAGATTACCCGTCAACACCAGCGACATCCGTTCCTAACTGCAAGTGAAAGTGCTCAACAGACCATAGGAACACATAATCGACACATTAGCCGTTCCGTTCCAACAACCTCAGATGTCGCCGACCAGCACGTCGTCCTGTTCTCCAACCACGCCATCGACAAGCACGACTTCAGTTGGCACAGGGTCATCGCAATTGGCGTCATCGTGAGTGGAGGCGTGTCATCTTCTCTGATGAAAGTCGCTTTTGTGTTCCTATGCAGAAGGAAGAGTCAGAATTTGGCGGCGTCGAGGTGATCGTTTCGCTGACAGAAACGTTGTGGAAAGGGATCCATGGGGTGGACCTAGCGTCATGATATGGGCAGGGATTGGACTTGGACCCATGTGCTTTCTGAATGTTGGTCAAGGTCGGGGACACGGCGTCACTGCTCAGCGGTATATCGACCAAGTGAACAGACCTCACGTTGTTCCATTTTTTGCACAACATCAACAACACATTTTCCAGCAGGACAACGTTCGTCCCCATGTTGCCAGAGCTACCATGGCCTTTCTGCAACAACACAACATCCGTGTTCTACCGTGACGCCCTCAGCCCTGATCTGAACCCCATCAAACACTTGTGGGATTAGGTTCAAAGGCGTCTGCACAATGTGCGCAAAGTCCCTACAACTGCCGATGAACTACGCACAGCTGCTCTGGATGTGTGCAGGAGGATCCCTAGGGCCTTCACAAATCGTCTGATCCACTCAATGTACAGGAGATGTGTGGCAGTGATCAATGCTAATGGTGGTCACACCAGGTATTGACCCGAAACTGTGTAAGCCCTTAACATTTGAAAAAACAAAAAATATGTCATCTGCCTTTTAATCCATTAAACTGTCTTCAGTCAAATTTTTGTCAATCTTGCCCTATTATTATTTGGTGTCTTTACTGTTGAAAATAAATAACATGTATACTGCATACTCGACTTGCGTTTCTTTTGCGTGTGAGTATACAAACTAGCACACGCACACGTATTGACTACCCTCCATGGATATACACAACGTGAGACTCTGTCAGTAAACATGACCAGTGCAAACGACAGAAATTACTCACACTGAACCCTCCGTGGTTACACACACGTACAAAGATTGTGGCTACTACATTACCTCCGTGGCTTATGACACATGTCGTGTGATCCAACTAGTCCTGTATTTAGAATCAGGATTTTCGCACACATCTGATAGTCCCGCCATGACCTTCTCCAATGAACCTGCTCTATAGCAAGTTCATCCCATCCACTAGATCTTAAAACTTACGTCAGACCTGGAAACAAACGTCTCTAATCCCCTGCACAAGATGTTAAGAAATATATCGTTTTCCATCTCCGAAAGATGAACACCGTCATCTCTAAAAGACATGTGTTTTGTTTGTTGTTTAACGCCGCACTTAGCAATATTCCAGCTGTATGACGGCGGTCTGTAAATAATCGAGTCTGAACCAGACAATCCAGTGATTGACATCATGCGCATCGATCCACGCAATTGGGATACTATGACATGTATCAACCAAGTCGGCAAGCCTGACCACCCGATCCCGTTAGTCGCATCTTACGACAAGCATAGTCGCCTCTTACGGCAAGCATAGGTTGCTAAAGACCTATTCTATCCCAGATCTTCTCGGGTTAAATGACCTGGTGTTGACATTTATTTCTGAATGTCCAATCGCACAGCCTCTAACTCCTTCCCTGCCAAACCTGTTGAATCGCTTTCATTTCTTTTCCAGCGGTCTTCTGTCCGATACACCTACCATGTTATGCATTGCAGGATGTCCGACCATATCATGGTAGAATCTGGCATCATCGTTTTTATTCAGGTATTATTTAATCAAATCCAGTAATTGGATATCCGAACTGGATAAAGGGCCATGAAGGTGGAGAATGGCTGTTTAGCTGAACTGGGAGCAAATAAATTCATTCACTGACAACCCCTCCTGGAATGATATATAATGGCTCAGTTTGTACTGATCAACTTCTTTCTTAGGAACTTAGCCGATTTGAGAAACTCAAGTTTTGTCAAGGTGGCATCTAAGCTGAAGGTGGCCCCCGAAAGGGCCCTGCCATCCGCCCAAACGATCCTTTAGTTGTTATGTTTCTCAATGATATAGGGTGCCTAGGCGATTTCAAACTTTGACAATCTGCACGACACTCCCCTGGTCCTGCGTATTGCACAGAAAAAACACTGTAAAACGCATTACACAACAGAGCTCGGTCATGTTTGTGCGAGTAGTTGGCGAGACAACTTGCCAGTTGACTGAGCTGTATTGGTCTGTGACCCAGCACCCTGAGATCTCAGAAATGGCTTCTCAGATTCTTGAGATCTGAAGTAAACGTGCCGTGGCATCTCGAGTAGGGGTTGCCGCCAGAGATGTAGCAGACATCTGGAAATCCTAACAATAACCTACCCTAGGGGTGTTAGTAAATTGTGATAATGACCCTTTCTTAGGTTGACGATGCATGCTTTGGTTCATGTAGAGTAACCACAGTTCTGTATGAATTGCGCCCAAAGGCATGGTTGCTTTTGGCATGCGAAGTGTGACCTGCCTGTCAAAAAGTACGGGGTGTGAAGAAACCAATACTATCTGACGAAATCTGTGTGGTGTGGGCGTTGTCGCCAGGTGCAGTAGACAAATGTTCAATATTTAACTGATTTATAAGTGCATTCTGATCTGTGGGCATAGGCAGTGTGCTAACCTTATTGACTGGGAAATTAATAGATATACCAGACGAAGGAATTAGAATTATATCAACTGGAGCGACATCACCGCCTTGCTCATCCGGGGTTTTTGGCGCCATGACATGTCTGCCGGTCTTGCTGGCTGACTCTTCTGCGCTCCTTCTCGTCCGTCCCTTTCCTCGTCCTGAGATCGTAGTTTTTTTAACGGCGCTGAAGACACTTGCTACTGTAACGATTAGGTGTTGTCTGCTTGCCGGTCGATGTGAAAAGGCCGAGAGGAATTGCTCACGTCATAACGTGGAAATGTAATCCTAAATGGGGACAGCGATGGGTTGAATACTTAGTTCAGCTGAGAAAGCGTATGTGGTCATGGGGAGGTAACTTAGTATTTAGGTGGTAGAGCACCCACTCAAACAAATTTGTTTCAGAGAGGCTTTCACAAATCGGATTAAGTAGTAATGTTTTATTTATGTAATTGTAAATTAACGTTTGACTATCATATAGCTAAAGTATGTCCTTGGCTGTTTCGACGTATATATGTTGCACTGAATGTAAAAAATGCGATTCACTTAGGCAATTTACAAAATGCCTAATACTGTCTTTTCACAAATTGACTGACAAATTGGTCGATATTATTACATTATTTTGAAGTTCACAATAGACCAAGTATGTTCGGATCAGAAGCCAGAACAATTAACATATACATTGACTTTCGGTTTCTTTTCTTTCTGTCATTTTCAGTTCCTGAGTGATGAAATTTAACATCGTAATATCAATTATTACAATGATTTAAATAATTAGGCATTTTGTAAAGTGCTCAAGTGAACATTTCACTCATTTTACTCTTTGCCTGAAACAAGTATGTATATAAGGTTAGGTATAATATGGTATAAGTGAGTGAGTGAGTTTTTATCAGTATTCCAGTTATATCGCGGCGGGGGGCACGGGGGGCCCAGTCGTC